AGTCAGTCGGCCTTTAGAGTGCAAATAGCATGCACGGGAGCCTTGGTCCCATGCCTCTCGCTAGCTCAGGCCATCTCAAAACACATTTGGTGGAGACTCTACCTGGATTCCCCCGTTCGGCTTTTAGCCAGAATCTTCAAACATGGTCCATAACACCCTCACTGAACGTTCATGTGTAGGTTTTCTTAAATTAAGTAGTGTTAGATCTGCGTGGGACCTGGTGGGACGCAACAAAATGTCGTGCAATATCGCGCGTCGCCGCGAAATTCATCATGACGGAAGAGGACTGGGGAAAAGTAATAGAGAACAACGTGGCGGCTGGGGTACTTGAAGCACGATTGGCTGTTGTTAATGTCCAAAACCTGTACTTCATTGGTTCTTTTAGCCTCATCTGGGTTTATAAGCTTGTGACCCCTCATTAGGTGGTTTTCAAATTTATGGGAAATGGCTGTAGTTGTTTCAAAACACTGGAAATAGTGAATGTTTTGCTTCAACGTGTCACTTGGAAATTCAATACATATTATATGTACCGAGTGGTTGCAGACAAGCGATCTTCAGCTTGCAAGAGTTAAGGTAAACTGTTTATTATTGATATGATATTCTCACATTATGTTCCTGTCGTTTAAAGTTCTGGTAAAAATTTCTGTTTGACCCCATAATCCATCATGCATACAATTCTCTTGGATGAAGGAAACCGTCAAAGGCCAAAACAATATGTAGCCTTTGGGAATTCCACTTCCTTTTCTCAGTTTCTAAGACTTCGTTGTTTATGTAGTGATGACTCTGATTTTTTCCACAAATCACAGTCAATATGCCAGTGGTTACCCTGTTTCTGTTGTTCAAGCGAGTCACCACCGCGCAAAACCTATTGATCAACAGTCAGCACCACAAACGTCACAGAAGAAAAATCCAGACCGCATCCCATTCATCTCACATTTCACCCTCACAACCACTCAGTTAAGTCCATTATTCTTAAAAACTTTGGATTACTTCAAAACGATCCAGGGACTGGTACTATCTTTTTGCAACCTGCACTCACTTCATTCGAATGTGACAAAAACATGTTAGGCAAAATTTTTGGTCAAAAGTTCATTCCAGACGAAATTAAATGACCAACCTGGCACTTAAAAATGCGCATACACACGATGCAAAACTTGTCCTTTCATTCACAATGCTGAGAAAATAATGGGACCCAAACAATCCATGAAGATCACTGGTCACTTCACATGCACCTCTGCCAACATCATCTATTGCATAACTTGCACTTATTGCAAAAAAGATATACATTGGTGAAACAGGAAGACAACTAGGGGACTGATTCTGAGAACACCTTTGCGATTAGAAAGAAATGATAAGGACGCATCAAAACCAGTTGCTAGACACTTTAATCTACCTAATCATTCTAAGCAGCATATGGCAATCTTCTGTCTTTCCTTACATTTAGGTAAGCTCGGAAAGTTGCAAAACTGTCGAACAAAAGTTTATCTTTCAAATCGGCACTCTTAACCCCTTAGGTATCAAGCAACGCTTTTCGTTCTACTAATTTATTTGTGTTTTTCTCGTCACCATGTTCCCACCAATAGCATACTGTAGCTCTACTTTCTGCTTATAAATGCACACACAACCCACAATTCCTCCATTTGCTCTGAAGGGCTAATGCTCAAAACATTAGCTTTTTAACTCTTTACGGTGACCAATTTACTATTTCAACTTAGTTGATATAACCAAGTTACTTTGGGACTACAGCTTTGTTTTAGAATTGCATGATTGAATAAAATCTTGCACTGTGATTGGTTAATGAAGCAAGGTATTTAGCGTGGAATTGCAAGTTAAAACAAGGCTAAGTGATATTGTTTCACATCTCTTATTTGGCACTCAGGATAAAAACAAACAATGTTATTGCTGTTGTTTTTCTTCGTATTTTAATTCAGTTATACGATTCAAGGAAAATCCATTACCAGACTCATCAAGTCTGTGTTAAATCACAGTTGAAAACTGATAGTTCACTCATCACTTTTGGCTTCATGGGATATCAGTTTTTGCAGGCAATTTAACATGGAATTCTCTTATAAGATAATGAATTTTCCTTTAGAATAGTATGGGATTATACAGATATCTATCCTAATTCTGTGCTGTGAACAAGTAGCTTAAGACCTGGTCAAATATACCTGCAAACTTATTTTCTGAGTCAAATGCATGAGATTTTTTGTCTCCTGGTGACTGGAATTTCCAAAAATGTTCCAGCAACTCCTGATGATTTTGCAAAGACTTCAGAAAGCCACCAAACATGTCCAAAGATGTTCCAATATTTGTTTCCAGTCGTTTGTTTTCTAGTTCCTCAAATGAACTGCCACATTATTGCATGTTCTGATACAGTTAGGATAGGATTTAAACTTGATATAAAGTGCTGTTTGTTGGAATGTTTTCAGGGAAAATTGAATTGAATTTTCTGTTGTTATTTGAATTGTGTCATTGTTTAAGAACAACTCATTCGGACTTCTAAGTAAGATATAAGAAATTGTCCTCAATGCAAGAGATTGACATCTTTGGTCTGTGAACATGAGACTCACTTATAATGTGTTAGAGTTGACAAGTATAAAATTCTCCCCAATTGCACATGCGATCCCTGGAGTAAAGTGGTAGGGTAGTGGGATCTGAAATGAGAATGTTACAGTGGAGGAGGGGGTTTAAGATACAATCTTTAAACTCAAGATAGGGTACAGTGTAGCTATAGGTAAAGTCTGTTTATGAGCCAGTGGACCATCAGGCCAGTGCTTTTAGCATGAAGCGACTAGGAGTATTTCTACTCCCCCCTGGATGGGATGCCAGTCCATCACAGGGTTACCCCCCAGCATTAAATTTGCCGGTAACCATTTAAACACCTGGGTGAAGAACACATCACAATGTCCCTGGCTGGGGCTCGAACCCAGACCAATCGATCCAGAGTCGAGCGCACCAACCATGAGGCNGCCACCAAACATGTCCAAAGATGTTCCAATATTTGTTTCCAGTCGTTTGTTTTCTAGTTCCTCAAATGAACTGCCACATTATTGCATGTTCTGATACAGTTAGGATAGGATTTAAACTTGATATAAAGTGCTGTTTGTTGGAATGTTTTCAGGGAAAATTGAATTGAATTTTCTGTTGTTATTTGAATTGTGTCATTGTTTAAGAACAACTCATTCGGACTTCTAAGTAAGATATAAGAAATTGTCCTCAATGCACGAGATTGACATCTTTGGTCTGTGAACATGAGACTCACTTATAATGTGTTAGAGTTGGCAAGTATAAAATTCTCCCCAATTGCACATGCGATCCCTGGAGTAAAGTGGTAGGGTAGTGGGATCTGAAATGAGAATGTTACAGTGGAGGAGGGGGTTTAAGATACAATCTTTTAACTCAAGATAGGGTACAGTGTAGCTATAGGTAAAGTCTGTTTATGAGCCAGTGGCCCATCAGGCCAGTGCTTTTAGCATGAAGCGACTAGGAGTATTTCTACTCCCCCCTGGATGGGATGCCAGTCCATCACAGGGTTACCCCCCAGCATTAAATTTGCCAGTGCCTATTTAAACACCTGGGTGAAGAGAGGCACTGTGAGAGTAAAGTGTCTTGCCTAAAAACACAACACAATGTCCTCGGCCGGGGCTCGAACCCGAGCCACTCGATCCAGAGGCGAGTGCACCAACCATGAGGCCACTGCGCCTCCACAAGGTAGCTATAGGGTGCCACTGTATCAAACAAATCATCAAGACAGTATCAGTGGAGGTTTGAGAATTGTTATTGGGTTTATGTCCTATTCTATGCTGCTTAACCCTTCAACTCTCAGATGATTAACATGGAAGTTCTCCCTTTATGTCCATACATTATCCAGCAAACAGGTATCAAGAATACCCAAACTCATCAGGTTGAAGATTTTATCTTGATCTCACACCAAATTACAAGGAAATGTGTAGCAGCTAGAGGGGAGAATTAACAATCAAATCTTGGGAGTTTATGACTTAAAATAAACTAACCTCCATGTAATGGAAATAGATGGGCAGATCATCTTCTTTTTCAGCTGCTTTGCCTTTGTATAGTTTTTATCTTTTATAAAAAACCATATAGTGTGCTCTTTGGTACTTCATTGAGATTACAGGTGCAAAAAGTAGTTATTGGTTATGAGATTTGCTTGAGGCATGAGAAAAAAATCATTGTCTGGTTCCATTAACAGCTTTTCCAAACCCTTGCCATTGAGAGAACTATGCTTTACACCTGTTTCATCTTTTTCGAATTTCCAATTGGGGAGACTATCCCTCTGTAACTTATTCTAGGTTATAATGGACATAAAAACTAAATAATCTCAAACATTTTGAATTTACTGAAAAGGAAAATTTTAGGGCAGCTATTTAATAAATAAAGTAACTTCAGCATTAAACAATTTCACATCTGTCACGTAGGTGATACCAAATTTATTTGATTAAACATCACCCCTAAGTAAGTGCCAGATGGGAAAGCAAAACTATTAGCGAGCACCTCATATAGGAATGTTAATTTAAGTTATGACTTTGTCCAAAATAAAAAATATATATATATATCAAAATTGTTTTCCTGAAAGGAGCAAAGCTTCCTTCTGTTCCATTCAACTCTTGAACTTGAATTACAAGGAGTGCTGTGACTAAAATGTTTACAAATATCGGGCAACCCAGTGCAAAGGTTAAGCCCATTTTCTCCACCTAAACAGGAGAGTCTACAAATTTTTAACATCTGTGTTTTGCTGCCAACAAATAATCGTCAACATTTATAGACTGATATAGTTGTACATGTATGCCACCCCCAAATAAGCAATCAACCCAAGCCACAAAAAAATTTTTAAAATGCTGCAGTAAGTAATTGAGCTAAAGTTATCCTTTATGAAAAGAAAGTGCGCAAAGAAAAGAGTAAAACAATACGTACATGTAACTTGTCACATCAGCTTTTTGCTCCCCCTTACCTCTGGATGCCTATATACAAAAACAAAATCTTCAGTGCTCATCTGATTGCCACACTGACTGACAGTTTCACTGAAATAACTTATATCTTTCATAGACTTTGTGACTGACAGACCAAATGTTAACCCTGATAGAAACTGAATGATTATCCATTAGATTTATACTACAAGCAGTCCCTCCTATTTGGTGAAGTCTATTGCATGTTAGAAAAAAAAAATCAGTGTACAAATTTGGAGTAGTGTCATGAGAGTCAGTACCATATTTATTTATTTTATTCATTCAGTTACTTAAAGCTACATGACTAGAGATACTGCCTTGCCCAGGTATTGTGAATATGTTGGAATTATTGAGAGGTAGAACTCACTAGTAATTGAATATGTTGAAATTCTTCTGTGTTGATGTCTTTCAGGTGTGATTGAAGAGGCCTCAATTTTGCCTGGATTGTTTTTGACGTGAACATGCAGTGGAAGATGTGACCTTATTTTGTTAACTTGAGCAACAGGTTAGATTATTCTACTCATGAGTAACGCTTGAAAATGTAGTCCATTATATCTTTAAGCCTACATGATACCTGCGACACTCGGTGTCTTTGGCTTTGGCCAGCATATGCATATTGACCTTCATTAGCCTTGTATAATTACAGGGGAGAGTATGGTAGGTGTTCGATGTTGTCGAAATAATTCTTATAGATGCCTTTGAACTGCAATTCCATAAAGCTATACGCACGTTAAAAACTTTGATTTTTTTTTTTTTTCTGGAAAGTTGGATATAGTTTTCCGAACACTGAGCTGAATGCTCGCTGGTATTAAATGTTAAACCATCGCTTAAGGGATTTATTTTCTGGCTTCAAGTGTAAGGACGTAGATCACCTGAGAACCGTATCGAATGTACGAAAGACAAAGACTACTCAAAGAAACCGAGTCCATTAGGACAAATTAAAAACAATTTGCAGTTTTAAATAATTCGAGTGGCGATGAAAAATAAGTTACTTATTCGCGCTCCTTCCCCCTGTCTGATATCGCAAAGAGTTGAAAGGAAGGTGAAGGTGCGTGTAATTTGTAGTTTAATCCGAGTAACTCTGTCGGGGTGAACGCCTCTGCATCCACTTATATTATTTCATTGTGGTTGGGCGGTAAATTTTTCTTCATTCATCGCTATGTCACTTTTCTTTCAAATGAAGTGGCGCTTTAAAAACTCTTAAAAGAGGCTTAAATGAGACGAAAACAAGGAATATACAAGCAGATAGTGATTGCAAAGAGGAAAAGTTCTATTTTGTATTATGCTCGATAGACAGGCTATTGCGAAACTTTGATACTTGTGTCTCAAGGAATGTACAAGCGGAAGACGAAGAATTCCAATCGCAAAGAGGAATAGCTTATAACTTAATACATGTATGGTGGTATTTGGGTCGATAGAGAAACCTGGACGCTCGTGTTTCTCTATTGATGAAAACTATTTCTGTTCTCCAGGTTACTTCAGGTTGCGAGAGGGATCAAAGAAGAAAAAAGCCCAAAAAAGAATCAGAGTTTAAAGGAAGGAGAAATGTAAAGAATATCTCACTCTCTCTTGCAAGACTTGTACATGTAATCTAATAGCTTTAACGTTTTTCTATTGATCTCGTACACTTGTACAGTTTAAACTGGTTTCTTTATATGGCTCATTTAAAGTTCTCACTACCTTACTTTTTAGCTGTCACGAGAAATGAACATCTCAGGTAAGGGAGTAGTCAGCAAAATAGCAAGCCTGAGAATAGCTGAATATTTCTTGTAATACGCATGCGTATTGACACACATTTGCTTACAAAAAAATACATGCGTTTTTTTAAAAGAATGTTTGTACCACAAAGTAGACAACTTATTGTAAAGACTTAAACATTTTTTTTGAAATGTGGACGAAATTGTGGAGGCTGGTCGGTTGAAACTGTCTAAAGTTATTGTAATATTACTGTATTATAAGATTGTAAGATTACTGTTATATACATGTATTTTAAAAGATTGTATTGTAATACTGTACTATAATATTAGTTGGCTAACATTGACGGGTGTGGGGAGGGAGCCAGGTTTGGTTAATTTTCCAGGGTTGATTGAGATCTGTTGGGGGACGGTGGACGGATCAAACCCCAATTTTTTTTTTTTTTATTCTCTCAATTGGGGGTCGATCCAATTTAGCTTCTTTCGAAGATTGATATTAGGCTCAGGTCTTTTGCTGATCGGGTTTCCGGCTTGGTATCCAGCTTTGGGTGGTCGAAGAAGGAAACAAGGAAATAAAAATTAAGACCAAGAATTTGAGACATTAAAAACGTTACCCGCCTTCATACTTCATCAGACTTTCGGAAAACAAACGGAAACAAATTTCGACCCCCAATTTTTCGTTCCTTGCTTGGTTGACATTCTTCCTTACTCCCTTACGTGAGATAGCCATTTCTCGTGACATTTAAAAGGTGTGATAAAGAGAGCTTTAAAGGAGCCATACAAACATTCCCGCCAAAAGCACTTGACGTTATGAAAGTGCACCACAAGGACAAAGTTGACGATAGTTTCCAACCTCTCATTTAACACCTCTTTTCACGGTTGATATCTTTCTTTGGCTTCTTTCGTGAAGGTAGAAATACCTGCGAGGTGAAGAGAAATAAACGAAACTCTCAATTTCTATCGTGTTATTTTAGATGGCTTAGTATAGAAATTACAAATTTCCATTCAACTATACCCACCAGGTTATTAAATATCCTGGTCTCCTTGACCTTTCAACTTGTAGTCTTCGCTTTATTGACAAGAAACAAAGTTAAAAAAAACGCAAGATGTTAAAAAATTCCTACTCCGCTGGATCGACTTAAAAATAATTTACTTTTCAATGACATTGTACATTAACAACAGAATTGAAAATTTTTTTTTCAACTTGACAAAAACTAGGTGAACGGTTCAAACAATTTCAAAATAACCAGGTTCTACTTTAAATCACATTCCTCATCAAAGTTGAGTGTAAATGTGCAAACCAACCACATTGCTCAGAAATAATCCAGTAACGTTTCATCAAAGTTTGTGAGTCTTGTCCGTCGCATAATGAAGAAGACAGCTCGAAAATTTCAGAGATGAACATAAACAACAAAATTCAGGAAGGGTAAGAACTTACTCCAGTTTGCCCCCAATATCCATTTGAGAACTTGCAAGCAACTGTCACCAAATCCATCTCACTTTTCGAATCGTCTTTGCGTTGAAGAAAAGGAGTTTGCAAAAAAATGAAAGACGAAATGAAAATTTTGATTCCTTCGACAATAACAAGTGGGTTGGCCAATTTACGAAAGGCAACACATGGTTTTCATGATAACTTTTCACCGCCTTCGCAGTGTTTGATCATTTGGCGCAATGGTTTAGGACAAGGTGAGAAATCTAGGCTTCATATCAAACGTTCAAATGCAACCTGAGAAATTTTCTTTCAAAAAAAGTGGAATTTGAAAGACCTTTGTAGAAGGGGTGCTGCACCCGCGAAAAGAAATAGAAACATTTTTTAGGTGGACTGGGGACACCTACACCTCATCTGATAATTCTAATGAAAACGCGCAGACACTTTGCGAGAAGTTGCCATTCCACTATTGTTTCATTTCCTAGCATTTTGGCATTTAGATTCGAAATACATCCTTTGGCCTCATTTGAGCATGGTGTCAATGGCATAAGGCCTGTGCGAAAGACGAAAACAACACAAAAGAAACAATGAGAGTGTTCTTAAACAGTCTGGTTTGTTCAGTGCGGTCAGTTAGTTGCTCCGCATTCCCTCTGAGGGTTACACGGTAACGGGTTACTATTGGAATAATAATGCGACGAATCTAGGGAAAGATAGAGACATAAAAAAAAAACAAATTGTTACCTTCCTCAAAAATGTCCTTCCTCGTGAGGGTAAGGCAACCCTTTGGGTCCAGATGTATTGCTTTGAAGTATGTTTGCTACTTCAATCTGGAAATAAAAAACATCACCACTTGCCATACCTGTTTTAAAAGGTCATCCTCTGGGAACGACCGCTAAAAACAGGTTTCACATAGAGGTGCTATTAACAACGATAACAAACGCCAGTTTATGCCATAATTGACTCCTAAATGTACAAAGAACTCACTCAAAAGTACTACTAACATTTATTTCGGAGATAAACATGGGTTAAATTGTACTTGAAAGACTATCCTTAGTTTTACTCGAGTGGTTATGCTCTAAGTGACCCTCCAATACAGGCGGAAGACAATACAAACAGGCCATTTAGACTCAATAAGCGACAGCTAAATAGAGGTGAAAATTACATTGATTGAAGTAAAAAAGTTCGAGACTTTGGCAACCGACCGTTTAATACTGGGTGACCTATAAATACAGTGCCACTTAATACAGGTTCGACTGTATTGTTACATGTAGCATCACCATCTTATATTAGCATGTGGCTAAACAAAGAGGTGTGAATTTGCCATTTTCCAAAAGTATCAGAAGATTAATCTAAGCTCCATCAAGTGACCGCTCAACATTCATTAACGGAGCAAAGGCAGGAGCTCTTTAAAAGGGGATTCCCTGGCCAGCGCCTTAAGAGAACCTTTCTACCTGCATCTTCCTCCGTGAAAAACATGTCAGTAATACCTAACCAGTATCCTCCAGTAGGCATTTAAGCACATCCAGTCTAGAGTAGAGTCTCCGGGGAGAGGGAACTTCCTTGTAATAGGCTAATGGGGATGTGCTGTAAGATGGGGTCGTATTTTCACGACTGGAATGATAAGTGGGGTCGCAAATTTTCTGGATTTTGGGGTTGGGATTGCAAAAATCACTTATGCCTAAGAGTTACCAAGATGGGGTCTACCTTTGGTCACAGAATAAACTCTAATGAGAGAGGGTTTCTGAAAGGCCAGCGGTACATACCCAGCAAAAATTGACCCAAGTACTCCCCCCCTCTTATAGTCTATAATGTACAGAATTCATTTTCAACAGTTAACATTAATCCTCCACCCTCCCCCCCCCCCAAAAAAAAATAAAACACATGCATTTGTCATCAGTAGTAAACGAATAGGCTTTACATCAAACAAAGCAAAAATAGGACCCCATGAGAATTCTAATTAAATCTATGTAACTGTTCGTGAGAGCGGGAAAACAGTGATATTGATTTTGGGTTGTATCTGACTGGTGGAGGAACATGTAGTTCAAGGACTTTAAACCACTCACAAAGCATGGGGAAATATATAACACCTGCACAAGCCTATATAACTTTGAAAACCTGGCAATGAAAATTTCTCTACTCTAAAGAATCTTAAAATTAACTTACTCTTATTAACTTTAATCAGGTACCTTATGTAATTCACTGTCCAGTACAACCCAACATGATCTTTGAGCCTAGAACTAGAAACAAGGAAATTACATCTCAAAATTCCACCTTTGTGGTTAGTTAAAAAATGACTGATTCTTTGTTCTCTGCAAAAAAATTCTATTATTTACTGCATTTTTTTTTTCATTTTATGGTACAGGGAGTAGGGATTTGTTGTGTCAATCAGAGAGAATTCCTCACTACAATAATGTGACCTACTTAGTTTCCATGGGCTGGGGATACTGCTCTCCCATTTCTGGTGCTCAGTTTAGCTCAGCAAGACAGTCCAGTTTCTAAAACAGCTGTCACACTCTTCTCTTTGTTTTTTGGTGGACCAAGTTTTAGCATTCCAGATCACGACTGAGGAAGAGATTCTTTGGGTGAAGCCAACTCCATTGCAGGTCAACTATTAGTCACTCATCTCTTGTACACAGTCCAAGATCCATTCAGCACAACAGGACAGTCCAGTTTCCGAAACAGTTTTCACACTCTTCTCTTTGTTTTTTGGTGGACCAAGTCTTAGCATCCAAGATCAAGACTGAGCAGGAGACTTTAAGGGTTAAGCCAACTCCATTACAGGTCACATATTAGTCACCCATCTCTTGTACACAGTCCATGATCCGTTCAGCACAACAAGACAGTCTGGTTTCCAAAACAGTTTTCACACTCTTCTCTTTKTTTTTTTTGGTGGACCAAGTCTTAGCATCCTTGATCAAGACTGAGGAAGAGACTTTAAGGGTGAAGCCAACTCCATTGCAGGTCAACTATTAGTCACCCATCAGTTGTACACAGTCGAAGATCCATTCAGCACAACAAGACAGTCCAGTTTCCGAAACAGTTTTCACACTCTTCTCTTTGTTTTTTGGTGGACCAAGACTTAGCATCCTAGATCAAGCCTGAGGAAGACTTTATGGGTGACGCCAACTTCACTGCGGGTCAGCTATCAGTAAAAAAAGTGGAATTTGAAAGACCTTTGTAGAAGGGGTGCTGCACCCGCGAAAAGAAATAGAAACATTTTTTAGGTGGACTGGGGACACCTACACCTCATCTGATAATTCTAATGAAAACGCGCAGACACTTTGCGAGAAGTTGCCATTCCACTATTGTTTCATTTCCTAGCATTTTGGCATTTAGATTCGAAATACATCCTTTGGCCTCATTTGAGCATGGTGTCAATGGCATAAGGCCTGTGCGAAAGACGAAAACAACACAAAAGAAACAATGAGAGTGTTCTTAAACAGTCTGGTTTGTTCAGTGCGGTCAGTTAGTTGCTCCGCATTCCCTCTGAGGGTTACACGGTAACGGGTTACTATTGGAATAATAATGCGACGAATCTAGGGAAAGATAGAGACATAAAAAAAAAACAAATTGTTACCTTCCTCAAAAATGTCCTTCCTCGTGAGGGTAAGGCAACCCTTTGGGTCCAGATGTATTGCTTTGAAGTATGTTTGCTACTTCAATCTGGAAATAAAAAACATCACCACTTGCCATACCTGTTTTAAAAGGTCATCCTCTGGGAACGACCGCTAAAAACAGGTTTCACATAGAGGTGCTATTAACAACGATAACAAACGCCAGTTTATGCCATAATTGACTCCTAAATGTACAAAGAACTCACTCAAAAGTACTACTAACATTTATTTCGGAGATAAACATGGGTTAAATTGTACTTGAAAGACTATCCTTAGTTTTACTCGAGTGGTTATGCTCTAAGTGACCCTCCAATACAGGCGGAAGACAATACAAACAGGCCATTTAGACTCAATAAGCGACAGCTAAATAGAGGTGAAAATTACAATGATTGAAGTAAAAAAGTTCGAGACTTTGGCAACCGACCGTTTAATACTGGGTGACCTATAAATACAGTGCCACTTAATACAGGTTCGACTGTATTGTTACATGTAGCATCACCATCTTATATTAGCATGTGGCTAAACAAAGAGGTGTGAATTTGCCATTTTCCAAAAGTATCAGAAGATTAATCTAAGCTCCATCAAGTGACCGCTCAACATTCATTAACGGAGCAAAGGCAGGAGCTCTTTAAAAGGGGATTCCCTGGCCAGCGCCTTAAGAGAACCTTTCTACCTGCATCTTCCTCCGTGAAAAACATGTCAGTAATACCTAACCAGTATCCTCCAGTAGGCATTTAAGCACATCCAGTCTAGAGTAGAGTCTCCGGGGAGAGGGAACTTCCTTGTAATAGGCTAATGGGGATGTGCTGTAAGATGGGGTCGTATTTTCACGACTGGAATGATAAGTGGGGTCGCAAATTTTCTGGATTTTGGGGTTGGGATTGCAAAAATCACTTATGCCTAAGAGTTACCAAGATGGGGTCTACCTTTGGTCACAGAATAAACTCTAATGAGAGAGGGTTTCTGAAAGGCCAGCGGTACATACCCAGCAAAAATTGACCCAAGTACTCCCCCCCTCTTATAGTCTATAATGTACAGAATTCA